ACGGCATCTGAACACTTTCCCAACGCCGCCGCCCCCGAGCATCTGATGCGTCGGACGGCTTGTCCTGGCCCAGGAAATCGCGCGACCACGCGCCAAATGCTCGCGGCTGCATTCGCGCGGCGTGAAATCTCGCGCGGCACTTGCACGATTTCGCGCGACCATGGCGTCACTGCTCTGGCTCGGGACATCCTCCCATTTTGCGTGAAATGGTCGGGGGTGGAATCTTGCGGGGCGCCTGTCGCTCTTTGCGCGGTCATGTTTGATCAGGTGCTGGCTATGTCTGGTCATTTGTTGGTTATTGTTTGTTTGGTTATTGCTTGTTTGTTTTTTGTTTGGTTCTGGTTCGGTTATTGTTTGGTTATGATTTGGTTATGTTTGATCATTCTGTGGTTATGATCAATCGCGCGTTGCTTGTCTGGTTCGAAGACATTGTCTGCGTTCTGCTCATGGTGCCGACGTTCACGCACCGCGCATCAAACCATCATTTCCATGCTGATGCGCTGCGTGCTCCCCGTCGTCGCTGCTTCTGCTCCCCCTCATCATCCCGCATTCCTCCCCTCCTCGCCGCTGCTGCCGAAATCCTCATCATCTCTCGCATTCCATTCCACGCCGTGCGCCAGAGGCTACAATTCCGAGCGACGTCGGGCGCCGCGCGGAATCCTCGGATCGGCGCGCAGAGTTCTCCAGGAGGCGCGCCAGCGCCTGCCGGCGCCTTGACAGCGCCCGTCTCCTTGCGCCGCTCGGAACCAGAAGGAAGCCAATCCCGTCGAGAGGAGACGCTCGCGAAACACAGATCCAACCTCCTGTTGAGCGCGCGTGTGGGACCCCCGCGAAGAAGAATGTCGCGGCTCTGGAACCGAAGATGTAAGTCGTCGCTATCTGTAAGCAACCGAGAGTAACCATCTCCGAGAAATGGCGCGCGCGTGCGGGCGCGACCCCCGTCGACCGCGGCCCGTCTACCGCGGTCTCAGGTGAATGAATCCGCCCCGCATTGCGAAGACGCCCAGCGTTCCGCCTGGCCGACTCGACGCGGGCACTGCGGCCGCGCAGTGTCTCGATGAGGGCTGCTCGCGGGGCGGCGCCGGGGGGTCGCGGTCTCCGAGGGCGGCGTGCTGTCGGCGACGTGGCCCAGGATCCGCGCGTGCACCCTCTGGCGGTCAAGACTTAGATTTGCGCCTGAATCTTGTCGGTTGGCAAAACCATTCAAGGCATCTGCGGCGCCGTCGAAGTCGAAGAGAGCCCGCCTGGCGAACTTGTCCACCCCGCGGATCTGGCGCCGATCATCGCAAGTCTCGACGCTGGGGGGCCGCGGCAGGGGGCAGCCCGAGCAAGTCCACCCCGTTTCCGGGCTCGGGCTGGCGCCCGCCAGCGGGTCGCTCACCTCCGCTGGCCGACGGGCCCATCCCCCCTCGGGCGCGGTCAGCTCGCCGCCGCGCGCGCCATCGCCTCCTCGCCTCCTCGCCCCCGCGCCCCCACCTGCTGAGTCGCGGCCGCGGCCGTCGCCGGGCCCGGGCCGCCGCCCCGCCCGTCGCCGCGGCCTGGTCCGCCGCCGCCGCCGCCACCAGGGACCCCTCGCTGGCCTCGACCACGAGAGGGCTTGGCGGCGGCATCCCAGCCGCTCGGTTCTCCCAGTTCTCCAGCTCCGGCCCCCTCTCCTCCGCGCCCTCCTGACGGCTACTTTCCGCAGCGGCGGGTCAACGGCGCCCATCGGGCCGGCCGTGCCCATGCAGCGGCGAAGGCCGCCCCGCTTGGGCGGCTGGGTGGGCCCCCTGGCGCAGGCCTCGACTATCTGAAACTCGTCAACACAGGGCGTCGACGCCTACCCTGCTCGCCAAATCCACCTGGCCAAATGTACCAGCGTAAGTGATGGCGGCGAGGAAGCGTTCAACTCGATGCGCGTCTTGTCAGAGGGGGAGCAGCCGGTCTCTCGACCGGAGCTCCAGCCACAACAGCAGACCGCCGCCGCTCCGATCCCAGGTCTTGGTCACGCGCTCCAGCGTCGACAAGCCATCCTCGAACGGCGAATCCTTGAAAGCATACCAACGCTCTTCACGGACCATTTCCCGCCAGGGTTTGCGCCGCTCGCCGTGCTCGTCATGCTCCACCCATAGCGTTCTGATGTCATCTGCGCTCTGCGCGTCCTTGACTGCAGGCGGCGCCTCCAGGCGGTCGCGCAGGTCTCCTTCGCCACCAGCTTCGAAGTCTGTCTGCGCCGCTGCCGCCTTGGTCGGCTCTGGCCTGGCGGCGCCCCAGGGCTCCAGCCGGCGGCGACGTCCGAGGTCGCCCTCAAAAGACTCAAGGAACTCCTGACAATTCAGCTCCCGGGAGGCGGCCTTCTCACTCTGGTTCGCCGTCTATCCGCGAACTGCCAACCGCCATGGTGCCTCAGGGCCGCGCGCCGGTCGTCCAGCAACACGTCTGTCGCCATCGTGGAAACCTCCAAGCCCGCGGGGTTCGTCCCTGGCGCGGCGATGACCCGCGCGATGTCGCGTGGAGGCTCTAGCCCCGTCATCGCCCACCACCAGGGCGCCTCCAGCGGCCTCGCCAACCTCGCCCGAGTTGATGGGCGGTGACGTTCTGGTCCCGCCGACGGCCGAGCTCAGCGGCTTCCAAACCAAGCGCCTGCAGAGCTAGCTGAAAGGCCAACAGCTGCCGTCGCATGTGCCGTACTCCTATGGATCCTCCACCGGGCCGTGGGTGAGCTGCTGGCCCCCTTCCTGGAGGATAGGATGGCGGTCCGCAGGCTGAAGTCACCACTGGCTCACGGAACTAGAAGGCACTGGCCGCCAGCGAAGGAGATGCACTGCTGTCGCTTCACATGAAAGCCCGTGAACATCTGCCGCCATCTGGCCACTCACGCGATCACATCCTCAACGTCTGTGCCTTCGTCGGGGGTGACCATTCAGAAGAATGTGCCTCCTGCTGGGTGAAATAGAACGCGCTCGTGTCACACTGGGTCACGGGGGTACCATATCCCAACTCGAAGCCCTGGGTGGATCTCATTGCACCGCGCCTCCGTTTCGGTGGCGACTGTTGTCCACAACAGGGTGGTGACCCGTCTTCGCCGTCGGAGAGGTGCGAGCATGGCGACGCCTGCAACCCGTGAGACACAGCCGAATCAGTACCGACGACTCCTCGAACACCACTGCACACGCCGCAAGCTTCCACCGCTGCGGCTCCTGCTCAATGGCCAGGCCGGCCCTCGGCGGCTCCGCCGCGTCGGGCGTCCCCTCTGGGCCGGGCATTGGCGGCAGCCGCTCCAGCATCGCCGCTGCCACCTCAGCGGCACTCGGGCACTGCGCCGGGGCGGGCGGCGCAGGCGAGGCGTTCAGCAGCCAGGGTCCGAACTCCTCGACCACCACTGCAGCAGATTCCGCCGCCTCGGGCAGCACGGGCGCCGCCGCCGGCAGCAAGGCGGGCGCGTGGCAAAGGCACGCCGGCAGGTGGGTGACTGCAGCGACAGCCGCCCCGAAGCGGCTGGCCAGCCACCGCGCCCCCGCCCAGGCCGCATCCCCACGGTGGCGCCCACCGCGATGGTCGTGTTGGCGCAGGGAGCCATGGGCCTGCCACAATTCATGCAATTGTGAGCCAGAGGAAACGCAGCGGCCATGAGACAACAACGTGCAAGCACTCCAATTCATCGCGAGTCGTTGTTTGACGGTCCCAGGGCCTGGCGAGGGCCTCCGAGCTGGCACCCTCCGCGGGAGGTGAGGGGCAACGATAGGGGGGGACTGGCTCAGGGGGGGAACACGGACTTGGAATCGGCGATGCATCGCCGGCAGATCGGCGCTAGGCCCCCGATGGCGAATCCACGCGTTCCTGGGCGGCGTGGGGCTATCGGGCCCTTATCGGCGATCAACAACCGGCGATTGGGGGTCGATGCTTCCCGCCCTGAGCGTATCCCCTCGTTGCCACTGACATTGGCAGTTGTGTCAACAGCTCAGGTAGCTGGCGTTATTTGAGCCTTCTGGCGCCGGTCGGCGCCCATGTATCGACGAATGGTCCCGGCGGCGGGGCGGAAACCAGTTGTACGCAGCAGATGTCGTACCCCCCCTTTCCCTATCCTACTCTGTCGTCTGGCCCAAGACTGGCACTCCTCTGAACTGGAGGGAAAGATCATACCTGAGAAAACCCCAATCAGTGGATGACTTGAAAATAATACTATGGATCGTGAGATCGATTGTGAGATCGATAACGAGATCGATAACATCGATCGTGAGGACGATTGTTGTAAGGTCAATCGTGAGACCGAGGGAGACATCGACTCAATGAGATCGATCGTGAGATCGATCGCGAGATCGCTCATGCGATCTCTAGTGAAATCGCATGTGAGATCGATAATGGCATCGCTTGTGAGATCGATGGTAAGATCGATGGAGAAAGGGGTACTGAGATCGATGGCGAGACCGATCGATAAGAATATCGACCAAGAACCAGGGAACCCTGGAACCTCGCCGCCCTCCGAAATCGGCCCGGAACCCAGAACCAGGAACCCAGGAACCCAGAACCGGGAATCCGGGAACCCAGCCAGCGGCCAAAATCGGCGGGACACCTTCGCCAAATCCTTCAATATCCGCGTGCAAGCACTGACTGGGGAAAAACGGGGACCATGACCAAGACTGAACGCGGAAACGTCGTGTCGATGCTAGTCACCGTCGATTTTTGGTCAGCGTCAGGTCGTTTACCACCCTAGCGCATGGGCGACGACCGACATGGACCACGACCAAGTCGGTACCGACAAGATGCTGCGACATTTTGGTCATGGTCCCCGTGTTCCTTCGGCTACACGCAAGAGCAACCCTACGCAAGAGTGACCTTTGGTGCGCGAAATCAGGGGGCACGCGGCCAAATTCAAGCGCGCAAGCATCCGGCATCGCATCGCGCTCAACGATCGAGGGGAGCCCCGATGAGCCCACACCAAAGGTCACTCCGCAGGAGGTTCCCTCGTAGGTGGAGTCGATTCCTTCCCTCGATGAGCTGGCGCCCTCCGTGGGGGAGGCCTGAGGCCCGCCGCAGGCAACTCTGGCGAGCGGCGCACGGGCGCGGGCCCGGCGCAGCGGGGCTGGGGCTGCCGGCCGCCCGGGCACTCGTCCGCCGCAACGTCCCACGCCTGCAGGGCGGCGGACGGCGGTGGGCGACCCAGACCCCTTCGACGAAGAGGAGGGGGGGAGGAGGGGGAGGAGGAACGTTTGGAACGTTTTGGCAGGCAACGTCGTGCAACGAGGCGGGCAGGGCAGAGAGGGAGAGAGCAGCAAGCAGGAGCGCAAGTGCCTAAGGCACGCCCTTTAATCGGAATCGCTGCTCGGGTCGGCAGGGGGCGGGACGAGAGGAACCTCGTCCACCGAAACGGGCAAAGCCTCCCCGACACCCTGAGCCACAGACAACTCCGACATGGGATCTCGCGCTCGAGCTCGCTGATCGGACACCGCGGAAAACCGTGCGTGCCGAAGCAGGACACTCGCCTTGGACGAGCCTGCGTAACTCGGGTACAAACCTCGACGAATTCTGGCCAGGTGTTCAGTGCCCTTGCGAGAGGGCGCCTTGCATTCAAGCGCCAACTGGCGCCCTTCCGAAGTCGCCGTGCGGCCACAAAACTGACAAAAGTACAGACAGTGCAAATCCCCAAACGCAAGCTTGTGGGAAGGATGCAAGACCGCACCAGACACCGCGACGGGCCCAGGGACCACCACGACCACGTCCAAGGGGAAGGGATCCACCCCAACAGCAGGGATGCATGGCGCCTTGGAGACCTCTAAGAGGTGATTCTTACTACACAGCACCTCGCAACTCCTGCAACGAATACGATCCAAGTCATCGAAGGGGTCGTGATCAGCGTCGTTCCAGCCCGACGCAATCCCCCCCGACTCTGCCACCGATGGCATCTGCGTCGAGGGCGGAGTCAAAAAAAACACCTGTAGAAATACAACCCGTGCTGGGGCATGCTGTAGACGTCTCCTGAGACCCACACGCGGTGCCCGAAGCACAGGTGGTGATCCTCGCAAAACTGGCCGAACCCGAACGGGTCGCGGAACCTGAAGATAACCTGCCAGTAGCCGAAGTGCATGTGGGCGAGGGGCTGCGACGACCAGGGGCTGAATCCCTGCACCCCTCGCCCGAAGATGGGGTAGGCCACGAACTTGCCGAAGAGCTCACGCAGCCCGTCATCTGATCGAACGCAGGACCTCCAGCAAGCTGACTCTCTCGGTCGGATGGCGCAGCAAGGTGGGGGCGCCCACAACATGGGAGGACCACCTGGAAGCCGCCCTGCACACGCCGCTGCGGCGCACGTGTGTCGAGGGTCTCCAGAGCCTCCATGAATGCAATGGGCTGTCGCTGCAGCTCCTCCTGCCGCAAATCGTAATCCTCGGTCCCCAAGAACCGCAACGTCTGCAAATAGCGAGCACGCTCGCTGCGCCGAGCGCGCCAAGCGCGCTCACAGATACGTCTGGCCATATCAAAAAGCTGCAATTGCATGATACCCATGGCCTGCTGCAGCGGCTGCTTCCGCAACAAGCGGGCTAAGCAAAGGATGTGACAACCACGCCGAGATGAAGGGAATGCAATGCACTTTCCAGTGGGCTGGGCCTCATCAGAAGTCTCGTCCGCTGCACTAATTTCAGGGATCCATCTGCCAGCGAAAGAGCGGAGGCTCCGCCCCAGTACCTCACGATGGTGAATCGCGGCTCTGCGCTGGGGATCCTGATCTTTAAAACGAAGAATGCCCGTCAAGGGTTGAGAGGCAGGGGGAAGGATGGCCCCCTCCGCCTCAGTGAGGAAAATGTCGCCATACAGCGTCGTAGGACACCAATCCTTCGACGTGAACTCGTAGAGATTGTCCAGGTACTCCTGCGGATCGAAGGCGAGCTCCTCCGCAGTACTCATGAAGATGTCACCATAAACGGTGTACGGCAAACGATGGTCAGTAGATTTGCGAAAGTCCCTGCTGCTCAGCTCGGTTGGCGTCGAGGGATTCCTTGGCAGTGCGTCTGGCTGCCGCTCGAACTTCATCAGGCCCGTCAACTGAACCAGTGGTAGGAGTGCCGCCGCCCTCGCCCTCGGAACCAGAGGCAGCTGCCCCGCCAGGCTGAGCAGCAGTACTAGCCCCAGCAGCATCGCCAGCGCCATCACTGCCTGCGCTTCGCTTGCATCCGCAAGGACACCTGCTTGGCCTCCGCTCGAAGGGCGGCGAGCTGCTCGGCTGACGAGCCGAGCGCCTTGGAGATCCCGGCCTTGATGCCAACCGCAAGGTTGGACTTGACGCGCTCCCACTCGCGAATGTCTGCGGGGTCGAGGTCGAGGCCCTCCGTGCTGAACATTGGGCCGTCGACGATGGTGAGCCCCTCGGCCTCACTGTCCTCGCCCAGGAGCGTGGACAGGTTGAGCGACGATGCCCCGGCAGCAGCGGGTGGCGTCGCCACTGGCTGCGGGAGCTGCTTCGCGCAGGCGTCCTCCCACGAGCTTTTGGCCTCAACCGCCGCCGTGACCGCAAGGTCCTCAGCATCCCGCGCCTCCTGAAGCCAGGCCTCCGCCTCCAGGACCTTGAGGGAGCAGCGCTCCAGCCAGGACTTATCACGACGGTACGCCACCCCCTTGGTGGCGACATCCTCCTCAAGGAGCGGCTGCCGCGGAACTGCAGAAGGCGGGGCCTCCTTCTTGGCGAGGAGCGCCTCCACTGCTGCCAGCGCCTCCGTGCCGTCGTCACCCAGCTTGGCCCGCAGGGCCGCCATCGGATCGCCAGATTCGGGTGGGGCTGCTGCGCCACCGTACGGGTGCCAGCCCTGGTGATAAACCCACGGCCGCCTGTCCACATGGCCCGCGGAGGAGGCGGCTTTCGCCTTGGCCTTCCCCCGAGGTGGCGGCGGACCACCCTTCTTGCCACGACCTTTGCCTGGGCCCGTGGCGGCTGCCGCGGCCGCCTGCGCAGGTGTCGGGTCGGAGAAGGGAGACCCAGCAGGCTGAACATGGAACGGCGAGCTCGAGAACTGCGGAAGCCCAAACGCCCACTGCCCAAGCGGCCGCTTGGAACCATCAGGCTGCGACACCAGGGCCCCCGTACACTGGTAGCACCAGTGATTGTTCTTGAAGTTCCAGCGGTACCTGCAGTGCGGGCACGGGTCGTGGTACTGCTGCCGAGCCTTCCCACCACTGCTGTGCCAGCCATCTTGGGCCATGAATGACCGAGAACGGAGGCAAATTAACCCCTCGAAAGAGGGACCTCCGCGAGAAAGGATGAGACTGGTGCAGGCGCCCAACCCCTGCAGTGGAGGCGGAGAACTTCGAGATCTGGCCGCAGACTAGCGGCATCCGTTTTGGCCCCAAGGGAACCAGGCATCTTAAGCCAAAATGGCTACGGAGGAGGGGGAGGAGGAGGAGGAGGAGGAGGAGGAGGAGGAGGAAGAGGAGGAGGAGGAGGAGGAGGAGGAAGAAGAGGAGGAGCAAACCCAAGAATCATCGACGATGCTGCCATAAACGTTTTCCCAAAGTTCCCTCTTCGTAAGTCCTGAGGGAAATACCACGTTGGAAGACAACGGTTTGAAATTCCTGAACCGTGCCAATGCACCGTTATTGGGACTTCAACGCTGCGAATTAACGCTATCGATGTGTGCTGACGATCCTCAGGCACGCCAAGACACCACTCTGGGGATTTCAACACCACGAATAAGAACTGTTGCGCTTTGGCGACTCTACATCGTGCCGAAACAATGATTCTGGAATGTCAACCAGGGGAATATTTGAAGCTGCTGAAAACTCTCAAGATGAAAGTGCGCGGCGCTGAGGCGAGAGCCACACTTTGAGAAGGCACCGCCCTCCAAATGTGAATACCTTGCAAACTTTCGGTGCGAATGCACGCGGTGCTCAGGCGAACTCCGCATTTAGAAAAGAAAACAACCCGCCCTCAATCCGCAAAGCCGTTACAACGTTTAAGACGAATGAACGCGACGCTAATGCGAGAGTCACCTTCTAAAGGCCGTTCGCCCTCCATTCGCGAATCTCTCGCGCAACATTTAATGCAGATGCTCGCGGCGCCACGGCGAGATTCGCATTTTGTAAAATAAACTGCCTTCCATCCGTGAGTCGGATGCAAATGTTCAATAGCAAGGCGCTCGGCGCTGAAGCGAGAACCGCGCTTTGAAAACGGCCCGCTCCATCCGTGAAGCTCTCGCAACCTGAAGTTCTAGGGGCCGTGAGTGGCGAAGGTTATCAAACGAAACGCCTGGCCCGCGCAACCGACAAGTTTCGGGGTGCAACAGGGGGACATTCTCCGCGCGAAAAAGTCGTGGGGGAGGCAACGGCAAAGGCAAAGGCGCATAGGGGGTGCCCCTCAGACTCCTACTGCAACAAATCTAAGCCCCAGCGAAAGATAAGGAAGCGGGGCGGGGGCAGCGCCCCCCAAGTCCGCCTGGGGCGCCGCCCGGCCCGCTCAGAGTCCGCGGGGCGGGCGTGCCCCGCCGCAGGAGGGCTTCTTACGCAAGACCGCCTTCCTAGACAGAAGGGAAGGCGTGGCTGACCTCTCTCGAGGTGGAGCAGCGCCCTCAAGAGGGGGGGCATATCACTAACTACTCGAGGGGGGCGAAGCAAGCAAGGGGGCCGCGCCTCGGCGAGCGCGCTGGTCGCGCTCTATGCCTCAGCGCCGGCAACCACCTGTGGCCCTTCAGTGAGGATGGGGGAGAGAATAAGGAGACGAACACCAAAACACATTCCGCACAACAAGAAAGGAAAACCGATTGGAAGTGGGCCCATCACCTCGGGAAAATCAAGGCCCTGTCAAACTACGACAGAAACATAAACCAGCCTTCACTTCTTTCCCTGGAAGCCGTGGTAAAGGAAACCTTTCGTGATTGCCCGTGGTACCCTACTTGTCCCATCTCAGTGCCGCCCATACTGAAGATCTGCTGGTACCTGACTCCGTACCTTATTCAGATCCGTAGTATACTGTACTGCATCTGGTGTCGGGGTTGGTCCTCCTTTTGTAGTGGGTCGGAGGGTTGGGCTTGTGGGGGATAGGCCGGTACTTATTTTTTTTTTGCGGTCGCGCAAGCCTTCATCCGCAGGTCGAAGGCTCTCCTCTCGTCTCTGTGGGTCCTGCTGGGCCTCCGAGCTCCTACGACTCTGGGGCCCATCTCAAGTCTCTGGGGGTCGTCGTGGGCTCCGTAATCTCGGCGGCTGCAGCTAAACCTCCACCTCCACGCTGGAGGTCGCCGACGCTGACTTTTGGAGCTTTTTCTTGTGCTCCTCGATCTTCTTTTTCAGCTCTGAAATCGTGAACTCGACCTCCTCTTCTGTCGGCAGCTGCTTGGCGTTCTATGCGGTCTTCGTCTTCTTCGCACTGTCCAGGCCGTCCTCCTTCTTCTTTTCGCTGGCGATTTTCTCGTAGTCGAGCCAGAACTCTGGCCTCTTCTCGTTCCATCCATGCGGGATCCAAACTCCCTCATCATCAGGATCCCACCATGGCAACTGCTGCTTCGTCTGCTGCTTCTCGCTGCTCCTGTCGCTCGTCTCGTTCGATGCCAGCCCGTCCATCCGCATGCCCTCGTAGCTCTTGTTGCTCGGCGGCTCAATGTCCGTACCCACAGGCCTCGTCGTAAGCAGGCCTTTCACCCTGAGCAGCTCCGCGATGCACGTTGACAGGCTGCTCATCTGGTGTGCCAGGTACATCAAGTCCTCCTATTCGCTAGCTTCTCCTGGTTCGATTTGACCTGCAGGGCCTTGCACCTGCTGAGGCTGAGCATTATCTTGTTCTTGTGGTCCACCAGCTTGATGATCCCCGTGTCGATGTCGATCGCCGTTGACGCCAACACGCTGCCCGTTCTCTTGATGTTGGCCCCTGCGCCCCTTAGGACGCACTTCGCTTCCCCGAGCTTGTCGCTGCCGCACTCGACCTGGCCTACGACCTCCATGATGATCTTGCCTCGTCGAGGAAATCAGCCAACTCTGCTCTTGAGCCCCAATAACTGTACCGATCCCCCGTTGGAAGCCCTTGAAGAGGAGAACGAGGAAGAGGACAAGGACAGGCGCTGCGCCTGTCCAAGGCCTGGGCCCCCGCCGCGGCCCTACCGCCCCGTCGCCGACAACCAGCGCCGTCCCTCCCGTCGCAGACCCCCTCGAGTCATGACGAAATCCCGACGGGAGGGCTTTGGCTATTTCCAACCTTTGGGGGCTCAAACCGGGCCCCAGGACCGTCAAACAACGACTCGGGATGAAAAACTAGTCCTGGGGAGCGGGTCGAGATCGAGACCTCTGGGGCTCAACCTTAGGACAAAAATCACAGCGTCGGGGGCCTGGGGACAGGGGCAGGGTCAGTCGGCATCGAGTCGGAGTGCCGGATCGGGTCGACAAGTGCGTCGGATCGGGCTGCATCGGCAGGAAATCGAAGTCGAATCAGATCGGCTGTGCCAGGGTGCACGACAGCGCCACGTGAGCATCAGGCCGCACCAGCTCGTCGGGACATTTTGGTGGCACGAACACTGGGGAAGGGAGGGGGAAGGCTTCTTAGAAGGAGGCTGCTTCTTGAAAGGCGCTGGCCTTGCATCTATAGATAAGGCCCGCGCCTTCTAAGAAGCAGGGTGCTTACATGAAGCCTTCCCCTTTCCCCCTACCCCCATCTGCGCGTGGCCGAACATCGGAACCGAGTCGGATCGGGCCAGCCAGAACCGAAATAAAGTCGGATCGATCGGATCGTGCACAGGCCAGGCCGGGCACGTCGAGGAGAGGGGGCCCAAATCTCTAACGATCTGATGGTCTCACTCCTTGCGCTGTTCCGCGAGGTCGGCCGCTGCGGTCCGTTGGTGGGCCCGATGACCACCAAGCGTGGGCCCTGGACGAACAACTGACCCCAGGGAAGATATCGGGACCTCTGGGGCTAGGCATGGACAAGCATTCAGCTTCCCCGCCCCTTCTCCCTCCTGCCAGGGCGAATCTACATATGTAGATGTATGCATGCATGCATAAATGCATGTATGTATGTATGAATGTATGTATGTTTATGTATATATGTATACATATACGTATGCATGCATGCAGCATGTATGTTTGTGTGACTGCTTGCATGTCTATATGTCTGTCTGCCTGCCTGTCTGTCTGTCTGTCTGTCTGTCTGTCTGTGAATATGTCTGTCTGTGTGTCTGTCCGTATGTCTGCCTGTATGTGTATTTGTATGTGTATGTGTATGTGTATGAGTATAAGTGTGTGTGTATGTGTGTATGTATGTGTGTATGTGTTTGTATGTGTGTATACATGCATGCATGTGTGTATATATGTATACATGTCTGTATGTGTATGCATGTGCGTATGTATGTATGCATGCATACATCGATGTTTCGATGCGTACATTTGCGTATGGGTGTGTGTGTGTGCATGCATGCATGTCTGTATGTGTGCATGCATGCACACATGTATGGATATATGTGTTTGCATGTGCGCATATATGCATGCGTGTATGTATGTATGTGTGCATGCATACATGCACGTATGGATTGCTGTTCGTTTGTATGTATGTGTGAGCCTGTATGCGTGAATGTGGTTGCATGTATATATGAATGTATGTATGTACGTATGTATGAGTGTGTATGTATGTCTGTATGTATGTACGCATGTGTGTATGCGTGTGCATGTATATGTGCATGTATGTATACATGCAGATACATATGCAAATGGGCACTTAGGTAGGTATGTCATGATGTGATGGTATACAAGTGTGTGTATAAGCGTAAAACTATGATTATGCATGTGCACATCGTATATATGGTATACATATGTCTATATTGTAGCTATATATGTACAGGCCCGGGTGCCGGGGCCGCGGGCTGGTGAGCGGGGGGGGGCAGGGGCGCAGGGGCGCGCTCGGAGCGGGCTTGCCCCATGGCGGCGCTGCCACAGGCCGCGGCGGACAGCGCGGCGGTAGAGAACGCCGCGCGACGCGGCCCAAAGCAAGCCAATGAGCCTCGCGACGAAGGCCCGGACGCTGAGCAACGTTCCGACACCACCGCGAACCTCTGCAGCAGAGCTTTTCTTCCTCCTCCACCTGCGGAGTTCGCCCGCCAGCTCCTCGGGTGCGCGGTCCACGACATCGAGCCTCGCCAGCGGCCCCGCCGTCGATCGCCTCTACCGCGAGTTCCAAGTTTCGCCGATTCGGGGCTGACCTTAAGGTGCATTGGGTCTCTGCAGCTTGCCGCCGCTGCCTGTGTCCATGCTGGCGTGGGGTCTACCATGGCTCTGCAGCGCGATGTTCGCGCACTTGCTGCACGGCTTCGTCGGCCACGCAGTGTCGGCTCCCAGGCAGGTGTCAGCGGTGCTGCTCGCAGCGCGCGAAGCTTCCACCTCCTTGAACGCGCTCTGCCTCGGAGCCGCGATCCTTGGCGGCCCCCGCCAGCGCTGCTTGGCATGCCTGTGCTCCGTGGGCCTGGCCGCCGAGTTTCACGTTGGCAGGCCGTTCTGCAAGGTCCTCGCGCTGACCGCGACGATCAGTCTCAGCCTGGCCACGCATTCGGAGATGTCATTCGCCTCGGGCGGCCACGCGGCGCTCATGATCAAGGCCCTCATTGCCCCGGCCTTCCCGGCAGACTCGGAAAACGGAGGTGTGCGGCGCGTGCCACTGGGAGATGAACTGGCGCACGTGCACCAGGGGCTCCACGAGAGGTCCACGAGCCGGCCAGAGCCTCCAGAGCGCGACCGCTCCACCTCGCCTCGACGACTGACGCCGGCGCCTCCGCCGCCACGGACGGCGAGCCCATCGAGCGCGGGCCCTGCGCGGAGGGGGACGGAGGCCGAGGTGTCGATCAGGGACGCCTTCGTGGAGGTCGGATCGCGCGCCTCGCCGGCCCGCCGCGCGCTCAGGCGCAACCGCGCCGAGGGGGGCGAGCCCGGCGACGAACCCTTCCTCCGCGAGCGCGTCGCCAGCATGCGCCTCGACGACGCGGGCGCCGGCGCGCCGCTCGCCGAGCGTCGCCGGCGAGCAGCGCTGGAGGAAGCTGCCCGCGCGGGCGCCCAGCCTCCCGCCATGCCGGCAGGGGGGGGGCCCGCGGGCACGCTGCGGAGCTGGCCGCGGCTGCCCTGCCGCCGCCAGCTGCGCCGCCGCCGCCGCGGGCCCCCGCCGCGCCCCGCCCTGCAGCCCAGCGGCGGGCCCGCGTCTACTGCCCGCTTCCCGGCTGCCCGCGCGCCGATCCTGCCGCGTCGGCGGGGTGGGCCAGCCCGGAGAGCACGCGGGTCCACTTGAACGAGCACGCGGCGGGGCGCTTCCCCAACCTGCCCCCCGTCCCGCATGCGTTCCTGGACCAGCACGCCTTGGGGCAGCGCTCGGTGCGTCAGCGGTTCCTCAACCTCCGCTTCCAGGGGGCGCGCCCCCGGCGCCGGCCAGCAGCTCGCGCGACGGCCGTTGCATTTGCCCCGGCCCCCCCCGCGAGCGCTGGCGACGCGGCCGGCCGCCCAGGACCCCCATCAATGCGGGCGGTCTTCTCCAGCCGCACTGGCACGAGGCGCCACGTGCCCAAGGGGCCGGGGGGTTGTGGGCACAGTGCTTGGTGCAGACCGCGGCGTTAGCGGTCCACCGCAACACCGAAGCAGCTCGGGCCCAGCTGCCGCCCAAGCGCGTGCTTCGCCCGCGCAGCCGCGGAGGCCGAGGCAGCCGAAAAGCCAGCGAGCAGGAGGCCAATAACCTCCGCCACGTTGGAGGAAGAGCGCAGGACGCCCTGGGCAGAAACGACGGAGCGGCGCCAGACAGGAGGGGCGGACAAGGCAAGGCGACTCACCGAGCACAGCGTTGCCTCGACTTGGCTTCGGAGGGGCTCCGCTCGAGAAGCTGCGCTTCGCTGACGTCGGAGCCGCCCGCGTCCGTCGCGCAGGCCGTCGTTGATCAGATGGGCCGCAAACGCCCCGCAATCAGCAACCAGTTGTGGACCTGGCCGGCCGGCTTGCTGTCCACGCGGCCGCCGCCGCCCAGGTCGACGTCTCTGTCGTCCAGAAAGATGCGCGGGCCTTCCCCAAGGGCTCAGCCGCCGGCCCCACCGGCCTGCGCCCCTGACACCTGCAGGGCGCCCTGGCGACGGTGGCGCACAGGGGCGAGGCCGCGGAGCAGCTCGCTGGTCTCGTGAACGCGTTCGCGCGCGGCCAGGCCCCGGCAGCGGTGGCGGCTTACTTTGCTGGCGCTTCGCTGGCGGCTCTCCCGAGGAACGACGGCGGCCTCCGCCCGGCGGCCGCCTGAGAGACACTCCGCCGCCTTGCGGGCAAGAGCCTCTGCCGGGAGGTCGCCGAGGCTACCCGCGACCGCCTGGCGCCCCACCAGGTAGGCGCGGCCGTCCCAGGAGGCGCGGAGGCGGCGATCCACGTGGCCAGGCAGTGGTTCACGCGCAACTGGGTCGACAGGGACAAAATCTTCGTGAAATTTGACCCCTCGAACGCTTTCAACGCTCTGGACCAGCGGGCCGTCCTCAAAGCAGCGCGCGCGGATTTTCCCGCGCTGGCACCCTGGGCGGACCGGTGCCACGGCAGCCCCTCGCTACTCTTCCTCGGCAAGCAGACGCTGCGCTCCGAGTGCGGTGTCCGGCAGGGCGACCCGCTTGGCCCACTGCTCTTCTCTCTGGCACTCCAACGCTGCGCGGAGACGGCGCGCCGCAGCCTCAAGGAGCTCGCGCGGGGCGCCGGCCTGGACCTCGTCGTCTCCTACTTGGACGACGGCTGCGTGGCGGGCGACAATCAGACCGCGGCGCGCTCCCTGCACCTCGTCGTGGCCCAGCTCGCCGCAGTCGGCCTCAACCTCGATCAGCACGGGGCCGGGCAAATGCGAGGTTGTCCCTGCGGCGGGGGCAGACGGCAACGCGTCCGCGGCGGATGTCCCGCCGGGCTTCCGACTGCGCTCCGACGGCTGCTTCGAGCTCCTCGGCGCGCCCATCGGGGGCGACGATTTCTGCCGCCAGCGCACGCAGGAAGGAGTGAAGAAGGCAACGGAGCTCCTGCAGGACGCACTGGCCGGCTT